AAGACCAAGACAAAGTCGAGACAAGACCAAGACTGAGACTGAGACAAAAAAGTCTTTAAACTGCAGCCAGATGCTGCATCGTTTACGGGTCACAGGCATATTTATGTGTTTTTGCAATGCACTCGCACAGCCCTCCTCACCGCTGTCTACTGTCTCACTCGCTTACTGAGAGGACAGACGCACCAAGACAAGACCAAGATCACTTAAAAGTGGTCTCGAGACATCCAACTCTACATACGCGTGCTTCGACCATAAATGTTACAGTACATGTTGTCCTCTTTCAAAGTGTGACAACAGGATGACTAACCTAATGATAAGACTGCTGTTGCAACAGTTTCCTATTTTTCTGAATGTCTTAAGTTATTTACGTTTTCGGTCAAATATTTCTGTCTTCGTTTTAACAGAGTGACAAATATCCATAAAACATCAAACATCTCAAAAAGAAAGCAAGGAGATGAGTTGACGATTACAATGGAGATAGCTCAAACTGTCAGCAATTAAATGGCACAAATACCTAACTGAACGTACAGTTCTGTGTTAATTGTTTGGACACTTTGAAAACTACCAACAAACTTACCAATAAGTATTTTTTAGGTCTAAGATTTTATTTTATTTTTTTTATACCCAGTTTTAACATGGAGCCAAGTTACGACTTCCTGCACATCTATGAGGGTGAAGACTCTAATGGGCCTCTACTAGCAAGTCTCCAAGGCAACCAGGCCCCAGAGCGGATAGAGAGCAGTGATAACAGTCTCTTCCTTGCATTCAGATCGGATGCCTCGCTGGGCATGTCTGGATTCGCCATCGAATATAGAGGTAATTAAACCAAAAAACTTTTGGCTTGACATGTCCAGGTGTACTTTACATTTGGCAACATTAAATAGATTTAAACAGCTTATGATTAATTCTTTAGTGATTACAAATGTTTGAAACTATCCCATTACTGAATTATTACGTAATTATCAGCAATAAAAGAAATGTTGTGGTGATAGTAGAAGTACTGATTTTAGTAAAAGTGATACATATTAGTGGTATACAGGATAGTGTTAGTAACAGTAGTGTACAAGCAGCAGGAGCATAGTTTTGAGTGTAATAGTAGAAATAGTAAATACAACTCGTATCAATAACATTCACTTTCAAAATAGCATCTCAGTATAGGCCTAATGAGGTTGAAAAGAACAAGGCAAATCAATGTAGGTTTCTAGCAAATAAAAGGTATTTTATGACTGTTTCTGCACATTGAAATGCAAAACGGTGAATGTAAAAACGATAATGTGCTTGCATTGGGTGTAATGATTAAAAAGTCGATGCAGGATTGTTTAGTGTGCAGACTGGATCAAATTTAATCTGCCTATTCTTATTAATCCCTTCATACAGGAGAAGTTTTTGTGGTTTGTTTTATTTTTTGTTTTTGTTTATCAGCCGAACACGGTGCTCCTTGCCAGCCGATGAGTTGTTTACTTCAAGTGATTGTGACTTATCCTGGTTTGGCTTGACTAGGGGTGATTTAACGCTTATAGTCAATACAGTACTTAGTTGTTCAGCTGAGTAGAGACTAGATCTGCTCTGGCAAATTTTATAAATCCCCTTTTCTTCTTGATTCCTTTATCCTATTTATGTCTAGTTTTTAAAAAGACCATCACCTATTCTGTTGTTGGTCTCATCACACTACCTTACACTTCTGTACTTTTGTCATTATTCACTACCTTTCATCTGCCATCTTTCTAATTAAAATCCAGCCTTAATGATCTCTCTGTTTCACTTCTATCTTGCCCTCCACCCTTCTCTGTCTTCCTGCCCATTTCCTTTCTTAGGCATAATATCTCATTCTTATTGGCTGATCACAGAAACGCAAACAAGCTGGTCCAGCTCCAAGTCATAAAGATCCAAGACACTGTTTGACCACTATTTGTCTTTTACTACTTTATCGCCATCTCATTCTTCTTCTTGTTTGCTCTTTTTGTTTTGTTTTGTTGGGGGTTATTTGCCCTTTTATATGGGAGGACATATTGTAATTCGAAATGCTGGACTATAAAGATTTATGCATATTGTAGAAATGTACAGCTTTATTTTGTAATAAAAACTATTAGGCTACTCTACTCATACAGACACTTTCCCTCTCAACAGAAAAACCAAGGGAAGCCTGTTTTGATCCCGGTAATGTTATGAATGCCAGTCGGACAGGGTACGACTATAAATTGGGATCTCAGGTCTCCTACAGCTGTCACCATGGCTACACAATAGCAGGTGAAGATACCATCACCTGTGTCATGGGTCCAGATGGAAAGCCAGTGTGGAACAAGGCACTGCCATCATGTAAAGGTAGGAGTGACGCATCAGGAAATACAACCTTGTGCGTATTGCAGTACCATAATATTATTGTTACAGTGAATATTTATTAGAAATCTGGTAACTCAGAGGTGAAACTGCACACTGTGTTCTCTATTTGATTCCAAATTGGGACTTTGCTTTTCCACTCTCTCTCTCTATTTTTCCCCTGTTTATTTAAATAACATGAACTTTATGAAGATTTTCTCTGTATTATCTAAATTTCATATGAATCTTGGTCATTGTTATACACTATCTAGTAGCAACACTGTAGGTTGTATATCTCGCTTTAGCCATCGAGCTTCCTTCCTGAAGAATGATAGGTCCAGTCTTTCAAAATCATAGACTTTATTTGGACAACTCCACCATATATATTTGGCAACTCACTCCATTGTTTTGTAATGTTTGAATCATGCTTTTTATTCAGTGCCAACTAGCTAACATATTTTAACTGCCTCTCCAGAGAAACTTTTGTTCTGTGGAGGACTGGACTTTAACACCACTGTCTTGGATTGGATTGCAGCTTGTGATTTTAGGACTTATTGTACTCTGAAGATCTTCTGAGCTTAGGGGGAAGGGAACTAGTTTGTGAACAGAACAGAATAAGGCTTGCAGTCTGAAACCTTGTTAAAGACGGTGGAATGAAAGTCTGTCCTTGGGACAAGGGACACTGGCAGCTGATTATATTGCTTCATTATTTATTTACAGGACCAACCACATTCAAAAAACCCCAATCCCCCACTTCCCATTCCCAGATCTGGATTTAAGTGTAGTTGTTGTCTTTACGTGTGTGTGTGTGTGTGTGTGTGTGTGTGTGTGTGTGTGTGTGTGTGTTATCAAAGCAGTCAGGGATTGGGGACTGAGCTGTCTGTGTGATTGACAGCTCAGAGAAGCAATGAAACGACACCTGCCAGAGTGCCATTCATGGTGTATATGGGTTTGTGTATGTGAGAGAGGCATATCTGACTAATGCCATGTGGGTAAAAAATTCAGATAAGCCACAGAGCAAGGAGATAAGAATTAAAAATGGTTATGGGCACATAGACATAAAGCACATATTCCTACTTTGAAAAGTCTCCTGTGAAAGCTCTGTTTAATAATGTCTGGGAGACAGTCACAGGCATTCAGGGGTGTGAGAGAATAAGAATGGGATAATTGCACTCATAGTAGGTATTTGAGAAAAGCAAAAAAAAAGAAAAAAAAGAGCAAGAATAGGAGGTTATCAAGTCATTTTATTTCATCCTCTCCTTCATCGACTTTATTTCAAGGTAATAATGCCACTTAGCAGATTTAGCAGACCAACCCCAACCTTTTGCCCAGGTATTGTTACACAGGATGATGTTTTACTATACAGTAAGACCATAATTTAATCAATAAAATAAAAAATAAAATAGTCTATCTGGTAACTAAGTTACTTATACACACACACACACACACACACACAAGCACACACACAAAGTGTGCAACATATACACATGTGTATATACACATATACATATACACATGTATTTACATATATACACATATACATGTGTATATGTTTTCTTTTACTTTTACCTTTTAACTTTATTATTGTGTTAACACTATTTCATTAATATCAGGCCTGCTCTCTGGATGAGAGTTTCCTAAATACAAGTCAGTTTAGTTCCTGCCCTTTCAGTGATCCCAATAAATGGTTAGATCTCCTGAGATTGTCATTACCTACATTATAAACAATTCATATAGTCAAAGCAGAACGATTTGACTAAATCCCACTCTGCAGTCTTTCGCCTTTGCTCCCTCAGCTCTGATTGCACATTGAATTTTCTCACCGCATAGTTAGGGAAGTTGCTCTGTCTCTCTGTCTGTCTCTCTATCTTTGGGCAGCTCCTGGGGCTTTTAGACCAAACTCATTAGACAGGGTGAGACCTCTTTAAATAATACATCTCCACTTACACTCCCTCCGTCTCCTTTTTTCTCCCTTTCATCCCCCTCACTCATCTCCCTTCTACTCCTTTCCTTTGCTTTTTTCTCTGTAACTACTTCTCACTCTCCCCTGTATCTCTCTTCAAGATTTTTTCATCCTCTGTCTTTCTTATTTTACTTTCCTCCTACCTCCTCTGTCTGTGTCTGATTTGCTCTGTATGTTTCTCTCACAATTTCTCTCTAGCTCTCTTGCCTCTTCTTGCCTTCTCTCTCTCTCACACATGCACGCACGCACACACTCTTAGACACACATACAAACACCTCCCATCTCAAACCGCTCTTTTATTGGTTTCCATGGTAACTAAGAGCTGGTGCGAGAAAGAAGGAATTCTCCGTGACTGTTGATAGGGTTGTGTGTAAGACCACATGTGTGTATGTGTGTTTATGTGAGAGAAGAGACACAGAGGTAAAGTGAGAGAGTGACATAGCTATAATAGAGTGCCGCCTAGAGGCAGTTTCCTTACAAACGCACACAGCATGAACGAACACATGGGTACACACATACCCCAAAAAATCGTACCACGCGTGCATATAGAGTGGTAGAAAAAGTAAGCGATCCCTGCAGAATTATGCATAAGAAGCACTGATCATAGAGGAGACAAACAAAGTCCATACTAAGTACATTATTCAATGTTGACATTCAGGCAAGAAATAGTCATTCAAATGAAATCAATAAAAGGTATTTAGATTCAAGGTAGAAAAGCTGGAAGTTACATTACTCATCAGCAGATGAGTTATATTTTTGTGCTCCAAAAATGTATTACCAAATATCAGAACTTTTCAGTGACAACTTTTCTTGACTATAAGCCAAGGTTGAATTATTTAGAAAAAACAAAGAGCTAAACTCTCTACAGTGTAAAAGCAGCACTGCATGCCATTATGTAAAGTTGTAAAAGAATCACTGTGGCGAAATGCTTTTATCAAAATAAGTTACGGGATAGTGTGAGGGTGACTGTCAACCAGTGGAAGCTCAGTTAAAGCTTAGAAAATCTAAGAACTAAGTCTTTTACTGAATTATTTTAATCAAAGGATATTTGGTATTGAAGTGACCCAGTCAGAGTCCAGATCTAAATCGAATAGAAATGCATCATAACCTCTTAGAGCCATTCGCACCCAGCAGGTTATAAATATGGCTCTTATGAAGCAGTTCTGGGAGAAAGAAGGATCCAAAATTCCTTCTGAACTTTTTCCGAGTGCTATCTGTAAACACAGTTAATGTGTTGTGTCTGCAGAAGAAGGACAATTAAAAGCCTTACAGAGAGCTAATAGGGCATAATGCTTCCTGTTCCTGGCAAGCTTTTAATTTAAAACATCTGGAGGAAATATTGAGTTTATGGTCAGTGTCAATACTTAAAGAACTAAATATTACCTAATATATTGTAGACAAGCACTGACTGGAATGAAAAGGTGAATGAAAGCAGCATATCTCTTGACAAGTATGAAAAGACTAAAGTTGTTATACTGGTGGAATGAGTGCTGTAGCATGGTGCATTATACCGAATTTGCCAAGTGAGCACCGGTAATTTCACGCTTTCTCGGTGGATTCTGCCCATGTTAATTCACGCTCGCATTTGCTGCCAGTGCTGCTGGTGTTCAGGGCACATGCTTGTTGACTTGATCTAGACAGAGAACATATTGCGAGTAGCAGGTATAAGTCTAAAAGGACTTTTCATGTTGGCTTTTTGGATCTTAGTATGTTTTTTATGTCTGCAACTTCAAGGTGAAAATGATAAATCCGGATCCGAGGTAGTACAGGGAATACAGAGAAAGTCTTATATTGTATTAATCATTCCGTTTCTATAAAAAGGGTTATAGACTTACATATACTTTACTACTTTCATTTTACTGCTACTTTCTATGAGAAAAAATGTCATTAGATAAAGACATTTGAAATGTGCAAGACATGCAAAGCAAATGACATAACCATTTTTTTTCCTGAAGTTTTCATGGATTTCATTCTCATTGTGCTTCATAGTATAAATAATGGATTCTGTTGTGTATATGTTGTGCTCAAGAACTGTGGTTATTACACTGTTGACAAATGAATCCTTTTCTTGAAATGTTGAAGTGACAGCAGCGTCTGTGTTTATGGTTCCAAAAAACACTTACTGGATGAACTGCAACCCAACTTTAAAAGTTTAGGACATTTCAAAACTCTTTCCTGTACTCCTGCTGCCACCATGAGCCCTGCTGTGCCTGTATGTGTGTGTGTGTTTGTGTGTCTTTATATTTGTATGAGAGAAAAGGGAAAATGAGACGCAGAAAGTACTACAAGAGTG